CTGTTTGGTGTGCAGTTGCCGACTTTGGTGTGATCGGCCCGTACTTTTTTGAGGAAGGTGGTGCAACAGTAACTGTGACCTCCGACCGGTACGTTGAAATGTTGGAGACCTTTCTGCGCCCCAAACTGGACGATGTGGATACAGAACATGTGTGGTTTCAACAGGATGGGGCCACAGCTCACACAGCACGACGTTCGCTCGGAGTGTTGAGGGAAATGTTCCCTGGGCGTTTAATCTCTTTAAGGGGAGACGTGGGGTGGCCGGCACGGTCACCAGATTTAAGCCCATGTGACTTTTTCCTTTGGGGATACCTAAAGGAAAAGGTTTTCAAACATCGTCCTCGATCTCTTGAGGATTTGAAGGAAAGGATCAGACAGGAAATCAACGCCATTCCGCCTGAGATAACCCAGAGAGTGATGGAGAACTTCCGGGAACGTCTTCAGCAATGTATTGCCAACGACGGCCGCCATTTGCCTGATATGATTTTTAAAACCCATTAAAACGAAACTGTTTTTTATGTACTTTTCAGAAATATATGCATTTTTTTCTAGATAGCTTCGATCATTTTTTATACCCCTTCAAAATGTGGGAGATCATTATGCCCCACCCTGGGTATAAACGGCTCCAGCTGCCGCTCCGGGAGAAGTGTCCCTTATTTTCGCGCGTTTTGAATAGCTTTTGAAAAAATATTTATTGCGCTATTTCTTTGCGCGAAGCGGTATTGGTGCCGATGGAGAAGCGGCACAAACCATGCCGAATGGAAAGAAAATGAGAAAAATCGATCATAGGGATGCGGTTTGCATCCGCCAAAAATGGGGCTCTAATCGAGATGGCTATCTCATCCAGGCAAGGTATTTCCACAACGTACGCGGGGAAGGGGAGTCAATGGACTCTTCCTTTCGTTTTAATTATCAACTTCATTTGCCTCTCCCGTTTGCAACCATCTTTCATCACAACAAGAACAATTCCCAGAATATTCACACGTCAAATACCAAGAAATTATTCCGTTAAAACATAGATTACTGAAACACGTATATGTTGTACATTTTACCGTAAAAAGCAACAATTTGACTAACATTTATTAGATTTTCATATAACTCTTCATTGTCTAGTACGTTTTTTTCATTTTTCCTTCGACATTCAATATCTCACCGCAATATATTTGGTAACATTAACAGAAAAAAATATTATTATTAATAAGTTGCAAATCATATACTCCCTTTTAAATAGATTTTGAAAATAGTGCGTTTTACCAGCTCTTTCACAACGGGTTATCAGATGGGAATACCTCATAGTTGGGTGTCAGCGGTGGCGAAAAACTATTGAAAACAACGTGATAATCGGATACAATTTCCAATACTTTTGCATGCCTACATCCAGTGGCGTATTTTGCCACAGGATCGCCCCCCCCCCCCCCCCCCCCCCTAAATACGCTACTGTGGACTCACAGGCCCCCCCCCCCCCCCCCCCCCCCCCTAAATACGCTACTGTGGACGTCTTACCAAAAGTATCCTATGTTCCATGAAACAGAAAACCGCACACGGTAGCGAGGCTTACTCAATCTGGTGCACGATCAAAAATTGAATGTAGATTTCATCACAAAATAAAGGTATTAGTCAATATGGAGGGACAACAGACAAATTTTCTGAGAATCCCAAAACTGAGCAGTCTTCTCAATTAGTTTTGTTGTGGTTAGATGGTGCAGCGAAACGGATATGATCGGGAGACGGCAGGAGCAGAGAGCCGTTGCGAAATGTACATGTCACATGTAATGAGTGCAGCAGACTCCCCTTCCCCGTTTACGTCAGGAAAGTGTTTACAAATTGTTGCATGTGCAAAAAACCCCCAAACATTTGTACATGGTTACTTAATGTCTCTCATAAACAAAAGGACCTACATCAAATGAATCATGTTTCCCTGGTAAATATAAATGGAAATAATACATAAAATGTAAGACTATGAGTCGAATGGACCCCATTGCCCAGTTAAGGGTTAAAACCATATTTCTGTAATAAGGACGCTAAGCGCAGTGGCAGCTAGGTGGCAGCTAATAACTCATCACAGCACTGTGTCTCGAAAGGGAACCACTATATTGTTGAAACATCTTCATTTCAGGTGAACCTCACGTTTTTCTTGCACATGAGATCCCATATGAATAATGTGATCTCGATAGTTTTCAAACCTCAATAAGTTTACAAAATGTCAGAAATTTTCAAAAGTTGAAGCATGAGAAGTTTAATGGGAAAACTAATCTCGGCACTGCTGCTCACCATGTGCATCACTTCGGTTCGCTTCAACATGATCGAGCGCATGCAGGAGGCTGTCTCAGCGACGGGGATGGTTAATGAAAATTCTCACCTCGTGCTCTCAAAAAGTTACTTCGTGTTCTACTTGCATTTTAGAATTTCATAATACTTATTTTCTGAAGGCACGAGACATAATTTTTCCCTTCCTACAGTAATCGCCCCTTTGTAAAACACAGTTTTCAACATCACATAGAAAATCATGGGATTCGGTAAGAAGGACTAGGAAATCATCAAAATCTTGCGAGTGATGAAGGGGAAGGGCTCTCGTCGAGTCACGTAGAAATTCTCTGAAAAAAGGTCACTTCATGGCTTCGACAGAACGCTAAATTATAATTCTGGAAACGGATCGAGTGGGGAAAATGGAAGGGGCAGGCCGCTTTCCAGCCGAACTGCGGAACGTATCGAGGCTTTGGAATATTAGTGATTAGTCAAGAAGGTGAAAAGACCTTCATTCCGGATATTTCGAGTACCAGCTCTACGTTCTTGAGGTGGGTGGATCGCGTCGTTAGATCCGACTTTTTGGCTCTCTTTCCTATAAGTAGACCCGTTGGAAAACGGATTCTTGCTACACTATGAACAGATACTGAATGTATAACTTGCAATATACCCATAGTACTGAAAATGGGAGAATACGATTTTAATTTTGATGAATTCCAAAGTTTATTTTTAATTTATTCAGTGTGTTTTTTGGCATTCATAGTTATTGCACATATTTTACTCGTGGCAAAATATTGACAACATATTGCATTCAACGGCAATATATGGAAAAAATGCAGTAAAACGTGTTCAATCATGAGATGAAGGAAATGGGCAAAATATGTCTGCTTTCGGAAAGGGAAATAGGGTATTCCGTCTTCGCTCGAGGGAAAGTATGAAACGGCGAATAATTAATTGATGGAGCTAAAGTCTTGGTATTTCTCAACCTTCCCTTCTAGCCTGATGTGTCAAAGAGGCAAGATCTCAATAGATCTCAGGGCATGGCTTCCACGAACACAAATGGTGTCCGCAGATTTCAGGAACAAGTGCAATTACTATTCACTGCTGGAATGAATATTCATCTATGCCAGGGATGGCCAAACTTCCCTATCTGACAAGACAAAATCTTCTTATGGCCGAGAGCCACAAGACACACACCACATTACATATGGTGACTTAGAGACTAGAATACTCTAGAGCAGTGGTGCCCAACCTTTTCGGCTAGTGTGCCTCATAGCTCACTCCTGCAGCCATCGCGGGCCAGTCACTAGTATTGTAGGAGACTATTTTAAGGAGACCTAAGGGTATTTATTGTGGGTTAGGGCCTCGAGGGCCACTTTTTGCCTGCGGGCTATGGGTAGGGCAGCATTGCTCTATCGCCTACTGTAGACTGCATGCGTAAATTCTAGAGTATTTCACTGTGAGGCACACATGAACTGCCTAGAAGCCGCGATTTCGCCATCCCTGTTTTATGCACCACTCCATCCTATCCTATACTTTCCAGGATATGATGAAACGTCAAACTGCCACGAAGCCCACAAGTTCAAATGCGGAAAATAAGAAAAGAAGCTGAGAATCTTATGGTCATATGAATTTTGAATTTCATGAAATACGGCCATTCCTAAGGGTTAGTAAAAAAAAACCCTTATAGAGGGTCACGAGTCAAAATGTTCATGCCTTGTTACAATATTCTTTCGTGCAGGAAGTCTGTATGTTTCCTTTCAGGCAATAGAAAGGCACAGAACGACATTCCAGAGTATATACCTAGTAGATACACTGCATAAACTAGTGCGTTTGATTCAGCATTGGCACGATTCATGCCAACGAACTGCATTACTTTATTCAACAAATGCGCTGTCGGGAGGCAGTAGATAAGTCAATGATGTCACAATGGCACATTTTCCGGAAAGAGCCTTGCTTTAATATTGTGGAATTTGCGGCAGTTTAAAGGGTTTCTGCAGGACAGTATATCATAATTATTCAGGTTTTTCATCTGAAATTTAAATATACTTTTTTCTTTATATTTAGTAAAATGTTGAACGTTGCAACTAGAGTCACATAATGATCAGATCATGTTTCAATTACAGAGAAAAATACAGTCCAAAATTTCTACAACGAAAATTTTCGTTTAGGGTGAAATGATATGTATAATATCATCCCTTACCTTTAGATCATGATGAATCAAATATACCAATTAACCAACTGGTGAATGCTCAAAGGGAAAATTCCGAACTATTTTGAATTTCTAAGGAATAAAAAAATAAATACCAAATATCTGGATTTTTTATCTTTGGAGGGGATCAGGATCCGCAGAATCGTCAAAGTTTCCATAAAGAATTATCCCTCCCAAGTTGAAGGTTATTCCTTTCCATCCACGCCCTGTATCCTCCTAATATAAGGGTCCCGGCTTTTCAGCGTGCTGGCTTTGTAGGCCATCACGTCATCTTTGTCATGATGTATCGTGGGATGATATACCATGTCAGCATGACATAGCATAACAGGCCATGTCAATGTCGGATGTGTCCCACACATCAGACGGATGTGTCCGACATGGTGTATCATCCCATACATGACATTTGAATTTCAAAATAACGCTAACTATTCCTAGCATCTCCAAAGAGTAACGCATTTGTCATCCAGCTGAAAATCGTGGACAACTCCATGGCTTTTTTCTGCGAAATAGCTGCTCCCCTTCCCGTCGCTGACGATACAGTTCCATGACTTTCCTGTGTGAGAGCTCAATGCCGTCGCGATCATCGCCGCCAATTCGCCATTGCCCTTGATGGAGGAATTCTCTCGAACCTGCAGAGAATAAATGAGTAAAATCGTACCTTCCTGCTATAAACAATGGGGGGAATTACTTGTGGAAGTGCGTGCAAGTGAACATCTCAAACTTCACAATATTTTAACTCATGACAAACCGTATCCTGACTGCAGTAAAATAGAGCCCAGGAAAAAAAAAACTCCTCTTAATTGCCGAGGTTCCGCGGGTTCAGCCTGCTTCATTTTCTCCATCGATTAAAATAGGAAGTTTCAAAAGTCACTTCTACAATTTATGCAGCCCCTTAAGGGCATATTGTTTGACGAAGTATTAAACTCAATGTCTGAATCAACTCGACAACCAGGAAGGCAATGCACTTTCCTTTTTTATCTCAAGGGAAATGGTTCGAAGGGGTTCTATGCATTTCCCATCGGTCTGTGACGTGAAGAACTGAAGGTAGGGAGGTTGATGGACGAGAGAGAATGAAAGAGAGCTAAGGGATGGCCGGGAATTGAACCCGGGCCTCCTGATTGCTGGTCAGGCGTGCTACTATTACAGCACCGAACCTAGGAAATTCAGTCGCGCCTCTCAACAGTGTCTTCACCACAGGTCGTAAAACCCCAAAGTCCGAAGTCTGCTGGGGTGAGGTCAGGCGACCTAGCAGGTCAAGAGTAACGTTTAGAGTTTCAGAGTGCGAAAGTAGTTCAAGTTGTCAACATGAAAAAGGCAAACCCATGAAATGACTATAACTTTTTCATAGTCGAAGACGGAAGTCATCGTCTCCATGCCCTCACTCTGTTCCCTGGAAGGATTTGAGGGCAATATTCACCAAATTTTCAATAAAAACACGAAAACGGGAAACGAGGCAAGTTCCTTCCATCTTAGGCGCCTCTCGGAACCCCTTCTAGGGTTCGATTCATCTCCTCCAAGAACGCATCGTAATCTGACTCGCTGTTCAGCCCGTAGACCGAAACGATTGCCAAGACTCCGACTCGTTCCAGTCTGAGGTGGATCAGAGCGACACGCTCGCTGACTGGGTTCTATTCAATGATGCTGTCGGCTAGTTGGAGACTAATGAGTATCCTCACTCCCGCCTTAGCAAACACGGTTGAGTCGACTCCACTCCAGTAGAGGGTCCATCCATGGTCTAGGGTAATGGAACTGGTGCCTTTCCTCTTGGTTGAGGCCAGGCCAACTACAGGGTGGCCCAGATTAATATATACATTTTTTAACAAGGCCGTATGCCTTAAGTATTTTAATACCTGCATGTAACTATGGTGGAATAAATTGTCAAAGGATCGAAGAAGTGAGTCACACTCTGT